CTCGTATATAATAATCGATATAATTATACTTTATAATAGCTTTTAATAATAGTTACGCGAGTACTCGATTAAGGCTTATATACGATAATTAACTTAATTACTACTAAGGATATCTTTTAGTAATAATTATGCGACCTCTCGATTAAGGCTCGTATATAATAATCGAGAACGACTAATCGTATAGTAATATATCGATATAGACCCGCTTAGCGAAAACCGTATCTATATTTAATAGGGGTACGCTTTAGTAAGATAATCTACTCGATTACCTATAACCTACTAGTTAGGGTAGATTAGCTTAGATAGGAGAATATACCTAACCTAACCCTAACTATTTATATAAGTAGTATATAGGGACGTTTAAGCGCCTATTTACCCCTAGGGGATTTTAAAGCGTTTAAATATATTATTATTATTATTATTATTATTATTACTTACTCGCCCGGAACTCTCGCCTAATATTCACCTATTCAGAAAGAATCGTATAATGAAAATAGCTAAAATAAGAGATAGGAGTATGAAACTAGAGGCTATTACTGCGAACCCGCTCGAAATATCACCGGTTAGAATAGACTAACTGATTCCGAAGGCCAGACTTATAATCGCTAGGATCATAATAATAAGATATATAGTTCTCCAATGCTACCCCTCTTTAAAGTGAATACCCCAGCCTACTATATACTTAGTTAAGGAAGTTATAAGCTCACCTTTTGCGAGTTTAGGTATTTGTTTAAGAATAGTGTCTTATAGCATTTTGAGATAGTGCGGCCCCATGAAATAATGCAATAGTTGACTTGAATCAATTGCAGGGATATGGCCGTCAGTTTTCTCGGGTGCAGGCTCATACCGATACTCCCCGTTCACCTTAGATATTAGGGGAATACAAATGCATTCTTTGCCACAGATGATATTATGTTTGTCGATCATAGCAAAGTTATTGTTATCGATATGAAACTACACAGACGTATTAGCATGTATCACGAAGGCACACCCGTAAACTTTAACTATTATACTCACGCGGGTTAGTGAGAGGGATGAAATACTTCGCAAAGTGAATCTTGATATGAGATTCCTTTGGTCGTAGTATGTTTTACGTAAAAATTCAAATAGCGACTTGTCATCCCTGATGACGGGCATCTTGATTTGATGTAGTTGCGTGTGAAAGTTGTCGCGATCAATACATAATAGAAGTCTCAGAATTTGGGCATCCTGAAGTGATGACATTCCTAACGATGTCGTTTGCGTGGGCTCAATGACTGGTAGCTTTTGGCCTCGGGCACTATCAAAGAGCTGTTTTCTTACAGCACCCCACGAGGTCGTCGCACAGTTTTCCAGAAACGAGAGGGTAGAACGAACAGCACTCGAAGCTTGTGCATATACGCTTGATGGAACGCATACAGTTGGACTCGTTGCTGTTTGTGGCGCCGGCGGTCTCTGGCGCACTGATATACTGCCAGCCGGATAGTCGTCATGGAGCTGCTGTCCGCACATCTACGATACAAGAATTAACAGACAATAACACAATGAATGTTGAAAGAACTTACACAAACCCAACTAACCCTCTCCATCCCCGTCGGAATGAGAGAGCTGGGAAAGGGAAAGCGGAGACATCTCAGGAGTGCGTCAACATATTCGGGGACGGTGTATGGGTATGGATCTGGTTTAGTTTAGTGACTTCAGTCGAGGCAAGTCTATTTGAGGATTTACGAGAAAACCTACAATGATATTTGCAGCTGTCAGAATCATCGATGACTTGTGTTGGAACGCCAAGAGATTTTGACTGGTGGGTTGAGAGCGGCATGATGAAGCTCCTTAGAGATGCTCCGAGATCTTCCAGGTGATTCTTGACAAAGTCTTGTACCTCGTTCGGTTCAATGGTGGAATTCTGCAAGAATTGGGATTCAAGGACAGAAGTCTCGTCTTCGAGCAGAGCAGAGTTGGGAAACTCTGCCAACATTTGCTTAGGGTATCGTCTTCGCTGAGACGTTCGAAATATCGCTCGAAGTTTCTGTTCCTCTGATCCTCCGGGGTGTTCTTGCCATCATCCTCGAGACTTGCCGATCGGGATGCAACTACCGCTATACTATTGGCTGACTCTTTTAGCGGAAGACACCGGCAAGCGGCGTCCGATACAACATTTGAGATGTAGTGAGCTTCTTGTCTCACAAACCAGGCTGCTCTAGTCTCAGCTCGCGTATTCGCTTTTTGTTGAAGACTGTGGGCATATGCCTGCAGGAATTGTGGTAGGTTGCGTCTTAAGTTGGCCTCCCCTATGTTCGGGTCGAGTAGTGCCTTCAGGAAAAGAGACTCCAAGGACTTATCATCCAGGATGAGTTTGACGATGAGCTCGCGGACCGCTTTGATCTCGACCGTTTCCTTGATCTGACCGCCGATGGCGCGATACGCCTCTGGGACCGCGTGTTGCGACGCCAGTCGAGATGGGTGGTCCTCTGCCAGCGTCCTCTCTTTCACCGCCATCACATGATCCAAAAGCTTGACGGCCTTCTCAACCTGGCCGTCGGCTCGATACGCTCCTGCGAGCTCGTGTTGCGATGCCAGTCGAGATGGGTGGTCCTCTGCCAGCGATCTCCCACCCACCGCCACCACATGCTCCAGCATCTCGACCGCTTCCGCAATTCGCCCCTCTACTCTCAGGCATCGCCCTACCCAGAAGCCTAATTCGCAATCATCGCCTGCCCAGTCTCCCCTCCCCGCCGCGCCGTGGATCGCCCTCAGCACATGCGGAATGTATTGCCGCCATGTCTCACGCTGGCCCCACTCATTAGACACAAAGATAGTCGCCAGGTGAGCTACAGCTGCTTGATGCACTTCCCCAGAGATATCTTGCGTCTGCACCCAGCCCCGCGTGGCCAGGTGCACTAGCCCATGTATGTCGAACACTGCTGCGTCCTCTCGCTCTTGTAAGAAAGTATACCCCTTGAGCGTCCCGAGTGCATGAACCAGCTCTTCCCTTGAGTGCAGCGAAGGCAACATCGACTGCGGTATCGCCCGCGGCTCCACCTGTAACATGAACGATAAAAGTTCGGCCGCTGGCTTGTCTATTCGGCGAATCTCCTCGAACGAAATGAGCCACGTAGTGGCCACAGCATGTCGAGATTCTCGATATCGCGTCAGGTCAGGAAAGTCCCGGCTCAATAGACCGATGGCCTCCTTGTTTGTATCCCGAAGAAGCGAGAGATAGCCTGAGAGGGTTATCCCATTCCTTTTAATGTATGCCGCTGCTTGCGAAATAGCCAACGGGAGATACGTGAGGTCGCGGAGCAGTGCCCCTACGGCCGCATCATCTGCGGTTATATCTTTCGATAGTAGCGTCTGTAGAAAAGCTCTGGCCTCCTGATCGTCCATCTCACTCACGTGGATGAAGTCGTCGTCAACGATAGCCCGCGCTACGTCTGTCGAGCGTGTCGTGAACAGGATGCGACCGTGAGTATTTCTTGGAAGGTAGCTATGGATCCCAATGGAATTCGAAGTCCCGAGCAATAGGTCTATATCGTCGGCGTTGTCAACGATAAGAAGCCAACGGCCAGACTGAGCCGAGTAGAGGTAGCGTCGCACCAGCTCTTTCGGGTCATCCCGGCTGGGCCCTTCGAGGCCAAGGTCCCTGGCTATCTCCGCGCAGGCTTGCTCGAAGCCTGCCATGCTGAGTGCTAGTATCCAGAGGATCGACCAGTCCTGTTTGGTCTCCTTGACCCAGTACGCCACCTGCAACGCCACCTGCGTTTTTCCTACTCCGCTAAGCCCGACGATGGCGGCCTTCTGGATTTCGTCGTCGAACAGCATCTTCCCTAGTCGTTGGAGTGTTTTTATGCGCCCAACAAACCGCTTGTTCTCTGGGAACGGGACTAAGAAACACGGCCCTGCAGTCGTGTTAGTACTCAGCGGGTGGCACTGAGTCGATTACTGACCGCTCTATGGTTGATGCTGCGCAAGTGTTCCGCCCACAGTCGTCTCACGCGTCTGAGCATGGCTTAGTGAGGGCGCACTTCCCACCCGGTCAAGGCTCAAACTGGCAGGTGCTCCAGGCCTAAGCAACTGTTTGAAGACGTCACAGATAACCCTATAGCGACTATCGTCCCTACCCGTGCATTTGACCATCTGCCGATAGTCCGCGTCGATGATCTCGATCTTTTCGTCCGGTAAGCCGAGCGAAGACGAAAAGTCGCTAATAATCTGCACGCGAGAATACGTAAGCTGGAAAGCGAGTCGGACAGGTAGATACTCAACCTACGTTTCCACTAATTCCTCTCACGCCTAATATGCTGCGGCCCTCTTGGAAGGAATGTAGTCGTATGCCCCGCTTTATCGTAATTTTGATAAACCGTTCGTGGACGTTTCCAAGCACTTCACTATCGACCTTTAACGCCCTAGTTACGTTCTTGTTCGAAACCAGAAAAGCCACTGCCACTATATTCGACACCAATTGGGCCCAGTCTGCCGTCGAGCTGCCCCGGTGAGGCGTGCCTAGGAATATAATGGCTGCTGTGCGCTGCTGTAAGGTCTCTGACCGGGAGAGGGCCTAGGCACGTCAGATCCTCTTCCCGCGTAAACACCAAGAACACCTACATCCTTCACGATAATGCCGCCGAGGCTATGTGCCACAAAGATAATGGGTTCCTGGCCAATCAGTCCAACGTCTCGCCAGCCTAATGCTTCATAACACCCACCTGATCATCCAGCTTCCGCTCGAACTTAATGGCAAAGTCCCGTCCATACTGCGACACGCTATTCGTGTTAGCCGCTCCGAACATCCCCTCGATAGTATCCGCATTGTATCCGTACGTCCATATTCTCGCGTTGGGAAGGTCGTCCGCCAGCAGGTCGCGTGGCCAGAAAGGGTGTCGTTGGGCTGCGTCGCGGGTGTCCGAGGTGTCTTCCGAAGCGCCGTGCCTCGTTTTGCCCCACCGCTTTCGAAAAGTGGCTCGCAGCGATGAGGATGCGTTGTCAGCGCTCGTGTTGTCCACGTCGTCGCCCCACGTCCGCAAGGGGTGGCCTCGTAGCCCGTGTACGAAAATGATGCTTATCGCGTCAGTCGGCGTCGGTGGATCTTGCTAGGGAGGTGTACCCACTTCGAGGTGTGCCTTCCTTCTTTTCCTACGGTAGGGTCCAGCCGAGTGAAGCCAATTCTGTGGACCTTGGCCATGTTGATCGCGTGGTCAGTCATCCTCAGGAGCACGGCCCACAAGTGTGCGGGGTTCAGGATAGAGCCGCTTGTTTTAAGCCCGCTAAGCCAGGGATGACAGCGCACGTGACTTGCTTCAACATCACCCCACCACTTCGTAACTAATGACTTTCGCGCTTATTTCCTTTAAAATGCAGTATAATACTATAGAAGTAAAGGTATTTAGTTGCCCCTTTTTTGTCTTAATCTAACGAAAATCGCAATTAGATACCTTTAAAGTAGCTAGAGGTTAAGACCCTTATCCTTATATCTACTAATAATCTATATATATATATATATATATATACTTAGGGCTAGGTTAAGTATATTCTCCTATCTAAGCTAATCTACCCTAATATTTTCTATTTATAAAAAGAGGGGAGATTTCTTATAGACTAGTTTTAGATTATTAAGTATTACGAATAGTTAGGTAGAAGGGCCTACCCTATAGCTATACTTTAAGGCTACCTATAGCCTAGTATATAGCCTAGCTTAAAGCCCTACCTAAGGTATACCTAATTAATAGGTTATAGGTAATCGAGTAGATTATCCTATTAAAGCGTACCCCTATTAAATATAGATATAGTTTTCGCTAAGTAGCTCTATATTAATATATCGTTATATAATTAATCGTTCTCGATTATTATATATAAGCTTTAATCGAGAAGTTATATAATTATTATTAAAGTATACTAAGGTATAACTAGGTAATAATCGAAGAGGTTAGGTTATAATGTAGGATAGAATAGGAATAGAGAAATAGAAGGATAAGATAAAGGTAACGATATATCGGGAAGGAAGTATTAGATAGAGGAACTAATTAAAGATTCGAATAGCCCGTAATTTCTACTATAGAATAGTATAGGTTTCGTATAAATTAAAGGTAAGTAAACGGTTATTTAATTAAAGAATAGCTTTAAGGAAAGCTTATTAAAAACTTAATAGAAGTAAAAGTAGTCCTAAAAGGTATCTATTATTAATACCTAAAAACGTATAAATTAGATAGGAATTACTATATAAAGGGAAGTAACGAGCTTAG